ATATATGGACGGTGTAACAGCAGACATGCAATAAATATGAATAAAATCACAACGGATTTTATTTATGCTGAGTCTAACTGTTTTATTTTTAAAAAATAGTGCAACTGCCATCTTCGGTGTAACAGTGCTTATAAGCACTTGGAAGTGTTAATAGAAGTGAACAAATGCAATGAAATTCTATGGTAAATATGCTGAACTGATACGTATGAAAAAAATCATTAATAAAGATGAAGAAATACACAAGACCATAATGGGCGGCGGTGTATTCATGTTTAAGGAACTGAAGCATGCCGGAGAAGAAATGTATGAACAAAGATGAGCAAATCAATCAGAATGACAGATATTAATTTACATGTTGTAATTGTCTAATATTGAAATACTGTAAAAAAAAAAAACATATCATCAGTATCGGCCTCTTATTATTAAATGTGTTAAATCATTATGGTACTAATCACGTTTTAATCAATATATTCACCACAATTATTAAATGTACACTCTCTCTTTTAAACAAAACTTGATCTACAACAATCAATATTTTCATTCGCTTAATCTGTAGGCATAGTATGTTAATTATTATCATTTAATTGAAAGCTATGAGAAAACAGTTTATTTATCAGATCATTACCGGCTGAAATTATGTGCACAGACCCACAAATCCACTGAAAACTTAATATTTCTACTTGTTTCTCAAAAGTCAAGCCGAAAGAAGAATACTTGGTATTTTTATATTTCAAGAAAGCTGTAGACACTGTCAGAGATGGCCTTATTAGAACTATTAAACAGATTGGTTTGGTAGAAAAATGTTGAAAATAATAATAAAAGTCTGTATAATAATGTTAAATGTAGAGTTTTCTTAAACGATATTTATACTGATTTTTTTTTTGAAATTGAAGAAGACGTAAAACAAGGATGTTGCTTATCACTTATTTACCTTTTTTTTTCGATAATTAATCGAATAAGATGATTCGTGAAAGAAATGTAGGCATTTTAATACTAGAGTTGGTTCATTGTTCTGGGCCGATGATGATCGATGGTAGCGAAAAGAATTAAAATATATTTTACAAACAGCAAGTCATTTCTAACAAAATGGAAACTTACATTCTATTACAGTAAATCAAATGTATTACATACTGGAAAACGTCGCAATGTGTTCAGAAAATGGAAATTAAGAAACGATTTTATTACTGAGGCTGATTGATACAAATACCTGTAAAGTGTTGATGACATAAATTGAGGAAGTAAATAAAAATTGAACCGAAAAAATATTAAATCCATACTTGATGAACAGGAAGACATTAATAGAGTCTACCATGGGGACATTCTTTGGACAACCATAAGACTCCCAACCATTAATTGTGCCTATTCTACCTAATTAACTAACAGCCGTCCATCTACTAATAAAAGTGAGTATTTACAGTATGATGGCAAGCTTAATACAAAAAGCACCTAGAAATTTCGCAAAAGGTACATTCTACGGTTGGTGAACTTGGTTGGCAGTCACCTTAATCACTCCAAAATTAGTACAGAGTTTTAAACACGCATGAATTATTATTATTACATAACTTTATTCAAAAACTGAAAGGTACTCTCAACAAGTCTTGTATCACGATGAAATGTAAATAAAAAGTGTTTCGTATAATTAACATAAAAACAATTATTGTCTAGTCTCTTAAAAATAAAATGAAAACGACACTAACCTTTCTTTAATTAAACATTAAGGAACATGTTTGGCCATTCTGAACGATTTGAGCCATTGTCTCTTAACCTAGCAAATTCCGTTAGTAGTAGTGTTGACCACTTGAGGTGGTTTATGGTTGTTTATTGAGTATGAAACTGTTTATTTAATTATGACGTAACAATAGAACAATGGCTATGATATATTTATGAGGGTATTTTTATGATTGACAATTGTTTATCATTATAATTATGCTGGTATAATAATTTGTGTAATGAGGGTATGGTGACGTAGTGTGGAAAGGTTGAATTTGATTGGTTCATGTAAAGAACGATTTTCATTGGCTGAGAGTGATAACGGTGAC